GGCAATGAACTTATGAGTCGCAGAGAAAGCTGCCTGAAATCCCTATCTTGACTTGAGATATAAAAGTCACAACCCTCTTTTATCGACATTTTGCAAGTTTCCTATAAGCTTAGACGGATATGGACAGTTGTTTGCGGCTAGTGAATTCCATATTGTTTGTCAACGCGAGCGCTTCCGGCGACAGACGTCTCTTAATGGCTATCGAGTTGTCATTGTTCATAGCGCTACTGTGAAAAATTGATTATATCTATCAAATTATTGCTGATGTTGTTAGTAAAAATATCTTCTCAAAAATCGGTGAATTTTCCCAGAAAATTCCATTTCATAGTGGTTTGTAGATTTTTATGAACTAGCGGCTTTTTTTCCCTTCGTCGAAATATGTAGAAATTTATAGAGAGTGTTAATCACGGTGGTGCATCTCACAGAAGCAGTTAACTAATGAGGCTCATTAGACAAACTATTGAGGTACAGAATGTTTGGCGTCAATCAAACTGTGGATTCTGATATCATGCGAAATATTCAAGAAAATAAATTGAAAAATGAAATAAAGTCTATAAATTGAAAGAAGAGCTTTTTTGATAATCAAGTCGCTTAGGAAGCAACTTGTACATCGCGAAAACGTGTAATCGTTCCATGTCCGCGAGCATCAAAGATTGGTTCGGGGAAAGGGAGCACTTATCAATATCAACGTTCAGGAATGTATTGTAGGGCACTTATATCTACTAGACTGCAAGGAGATTGTACGGATAAAATACAGATTGAGGACAAATATTAGCAGCAAGATGATTGCATGGTTTCAGATTCATAGGCATCAAGCAGGTCGAGGTGTCCATAAAGCATGAGGGTGACAAGAACTCGTGAGGACTGGAGATCTCACCGAAGAATCAGGTGCAACACGATGAACGGCTTCTCTACCAACTTATGGTCCTTTTATACACTTGGAAACGAGCGAAGATCTGACATGTTTTGAAACCAATTTTCAATAGAGAGATTCCAAAGTGAACATGTAGCACGACGTCGAAGAGCGAGAGATCACAGACAGTACAACCCCGATTTCGATTGCTTGATGGGGCGAAAATACATTGAATATTAGGGATTCAACTGTTGCAGAATATTGGCAAGCAAACATATCGGGTGATCATGACGAGGCAGTAGAGAAAGAGTTTATTAACGCTTTTTGCGAAAGCGCAATGATGTTTCGTAATTCACTTTGCACAAGCAGTGCCATTTCCAATAGGTGAAATTTGATAAACGATTAATACGATTATGCAAAAAATAGAGATAAATCCTTTGAAGACAGAAAGCTTTGTTCATGGTCACAATGAATTTGATATGGCACTTGAATCACCTACCTAGGATGCCATGAGAATTGCGATGACACAATAATCTTACTGTTACAACGAGCTCAAAGAGTGCGGATGCCGCTGGAATCACAACGAATTAGTAGCTTCATATCTCTTGAGAACTTTTTCAATCAAGTTTTACAAAGTAGAATCTTTGAATCAGTAAATACTCTAGTCACAAAGCAGTTCTTCTACAATGAATAGCTTTTGCCATGGTTTTTTTTCATTAATTCGGCAAGTGAATTCAATAATTTGTATAAGCACAAAACTACGATATTCAAAGCATTTTTCTCTTTGTGAGAACATTCGCATCATAGAGGTAGTGAAAAATTTGTATCTCAGCTGAATTCAGACAAAATATTTTGTTTGTGAGGTCAGACATCAGTAGTTCGTATTCTGATGACGAGTAAACTCCAGCTATTTCTCAGTCTTATAACTTTCTTCATTTTTGCTATCACTGCTGATGTAGGTGATCTGTGAGCTAAACTTCGTTCCAAAGGTAGTTCTCAGTTCTGTGATCACGTTGTATGTCAAATATTAATAATTCTTCGAAAATCTTCAGAAAACACTACATTTAGGGATATCAGAGTCTTCACTGAGGCAATTTTACATTGGAGTGGGTTTGCTGTCTCGCCCTCGGTTTTGCTGCCACTCAGTTTCCATATCGACAACAGTTCCGCACTAATCTCACTAAATATATACTTCTATAGTATACAATCACTAAATAAATACTGATAATCATCCACAAGAACGCGCATTTGAATTTTCTTCCCTCATCGCTAATCACATCGTGCACATCGTCCATGCTGAAAGTCTGCCTTCATTGACTAAATAGCTTGAACAAAAAGTCTCACGATCAATCGTCCGACACTGAGCAGCACACTGATCGGGCCACAAGAAAAAATCTTACCCCTATATAGCGATATTACAACATACAAACGAAGTACAGTGTTAAAGAATGAAAACAAGTATAATTACTTGCAAAACCGATTCCAATCTCGTGATATAGATGGAAGTTCATCGAATATTAGTGATTAGATTACTGTAGAATATTATTAAGCAAACATATCGGATAATTATGACGTGGAAGCTAAAAAAAAGAATTTAATAACAATTTATCTCCAAAAAAGGCATTATTGCCAAATAATCCACAGTACACTATTATTTTTCCACTACACGAGATTTAAAATAGAATTTCGTATGTTTATGAAGATAATATGACACAGAGTATTCTCTCTAAAATGAGAAGAAGAAAAGTAATTCTTTTGAGATAAAAGCTGGTTTTTTTAGTCACATTACACTCTGCACTGCGTGACGACTTACCCAAAGATTTCCTAGGTACAAGCAGCCGTGTGTAGCTGTCTTTTATTCTGTATCCCGCTCTTTGTACCCTTATATCTATCACCATCTGAGGAGGTTTTATTGGACAATTATTAAAATTGCTACAGTGGTCATGCTAAGGAGAACTATAAGGGAATCCCGCAAAAAAATGATAACGATTTCATATTTGAGAAGTAACGGTCAAGAGTTTTCCTACAACTACCACTAAGCAGGATTTCGCCTGTCATTTTGCTGTATAATTTGCGACAATAATCATCACTGTGAGCTTGTTCAACCGGTTATGATTCAATGTAAATTACTCTTATTATTCTGCACAAGTACTTCAAAGCCATTTATGATAATTTACTTCCAATCTTCCATTACACGTCTGTTACTTATGCACTGATGGGTGTTAAGTAGTGATGAATAGTGAAGACTCTCTTGCTGAATTCCTCAAATCCAGTATTTTAGTAAGCGCCATCTCTGTATGCTTGCTCCATGCATTGAGTGGTGTTTACAGTTCTACTTTTCGAATAGCTATCGTTCTTGGCATTCCTGTAGCATTAATATTCCCGTTCAATACTTCCTGATATGCCATCATAATGCACTCGTATTTTTCCATTCATCACCATCGTTAGTTTTTGAATTGCCATTGTTTGTAAAGATTTCCACATAACTGATCTTCAAAGCTGCGATAGAAACTACCATCAGTCGTCTCTAAGTGCCGTAAGTAACTTCAATGGAAAAGTTCCGTTTTTGTGACTCTTAACAGTGAACAAATCGACACTTATTCAGATTGTATCTGCTCCACACAGTATTAAATCAAATGGAATTTTTTTCAATATGGCAAGTTCATATCACTTTGGCAGATCATCATCTTATGGTCTCTTTTATAGGAGACGAAATGTTGTACGTGGCATCACTTGTGTGCCATTAATTTCTCATAGCTTAATGATACTGAAAATCAAGAATAGATAACGGAAAATTGTGCGATCCTTTAAGTTATGTCGTTCATCTTCTTAGAAAGTTCAAATTTCTGAATAAACCAGAGGCAAGGAAAAGTGCGCAAACTATTTGTGTTTTCAATATATCTCATAACTATTATTTGAACCAACATGTCATATGGCCTGTTATGGCCTCTTGTACAGCCCGATACACGTGTTTCGGCCTTGACAGCCTCGTTAGTCGGGTAGGCCCTTCGTCTTTGGCCAATCCTCTCGGGGTGCTCCAGTTCCCTTACTTAGAGTAGCCGATGATGAACGATTTACAACAATGTTTTTGGCTGGATGTCTGAGTGCTTTGGACTAAAAATGTCGAGCTCCTTCTTATTTCGAAAGACCCTGTCAGAAGGCGATAATTATGATATAAGTAGCTAACCTGGTCATGATTACTCCAACGGAACATTTAGATAAAGCAGAAAGTCGCTGTCAGTGTGGCAACCAGCTCGATTCATAGTGACTATATGGGATCTGCAAATGATAACAGGTTATCTGATAAATGTAGAAATGGCAAGTAGCTTTTCAGAGCTTTTCCACACAGCAAGCTTACAGAATTTTCCACATCGGAATGAGAGTGTGTTATATGTTGGTGGCGTAATGGAACGGAAATACTTCTTGTACTGGTGATGTAAGACTAGTTGAATCAAAGAGCAGCAACCAGAACTATGTTCGAAAAACACTTGAAGCGTCACAAAAAAGAAGAAATTGATTTACAACAGCGAGTGTATAATGATCACTTGTGTTCCACGACCTGATATAACGCCAAATGGGTATTGGTAAACAAACCCACTCATACGAAGTGAACAGACCTATTGCAGGTCGCTATCTAATAGAGCTCTCTATGATCTCTTTTTGATTTCGAGTTTCTCTTTAACGCTAAATTTACAAGACGTTTTCCAGAATAGGTGACTTGTTATTAGCAAGCGTTCCACGTTTTGAGGAAGATGACAGCGCTGAAATCTTAAGATTCGTTGCACAAATTAGCTAAGCAAGTCCTTGTCATTAGCAACATGACCACTTTCTTGAGCACTGTGTATAATTACACGCTTGAAATTATGGTAAAAAGGTTGCTGCGCATTGTTCCTCATTCTTCCCTCCTTCTTCTGAAATTCATTGCCCTTTTCTTATTTTGAACATCTATGCATGATAAATAATTTTTAAAAAACTCAAATAAAGAAGGTAGTGATAAAGGTAAACGCAAGCACATCAAACCGATTTTTTTGTGCCTCCTTTGCGACTAAATCAATGGTCCTTTTCTTTAATTACAGAATAATTTGAAAAGTACACCTAAGAGAATTGAGGGGTACACCTAAGAGAATTGAGCGGTGAGCAAAAGTACGACCTCAAGCGGGAGTCGATCCCGCGTCTCATCCATAGCGGGGACGCGTGCTACCACTACACCATCGAGGTACATTTGCACCACCACTCATTCTTCATACCACTGCGAGAAATGCAGTCAGAACATCAAAAGTTATAGATTCGAAAAACACTTGTACCTTTTTTTTTGAACACGCCACGCTGCGCTGTAGATCTTCTACTGTCCCCTGTTCGTTTTGGATATTTATTTGTTCCCCATGCTAACATTTATTAGCCTCGGCATGTTCCAATAATTCCTAAATCTCTTCTTTGAGCCGAACACGAGGTGTTATATTGTTCTTTATTCAACAGCTGAGTAATGGAGGTGTCTGACAGAATGGATGTAGACAACTTGACCTTTTCAGGTTCTGAAGAAGGCGAACTGCCGAAAACGTCAACTGTTCAATAAGAAGCAATGTAACACCATGTGTTTGAATCAAAGAAGAAAATTGGCAATATTTATTCGTATCAGACGTTTTTCGATTCGAAACGCAATCAGCATGAACGTGTTTTTTTTGTAGGTTGATAATAATCGAACAATCTGATGCAGTCACATGAAGGCAAACAATGTTTAAGATAGATAGATGGTAAGCGCTGCCGAGTTGAATAATTGCCACCGTATCCAAACTTCTTAATTCATGAATGAAGTCACTCAAAAAGGGAGCGCCATTTTGCAGGGCTGACTGTAGGCAATGATAAAACGATCACTCAGCCTGCTCACGAAGCTTTAATGAGTATGAATAGTTTAGAGCTACATTTTATAAGGAATATTTATCAAACATCATGAGGAGCTTAATAAATCTTGATAATTGAGTTATATATTTTAATAGATAAAGGCTATGATTTGTTTTCTACGAGTTAAGAGGAGACTTTAGACATCTCTCCATTTTTTGAAATGAGGAAATGGTCTCCATAAGACATCTTAGAGGGGGTGAAATGCACATATGGTTTGAAGGTTGGGAGTAATCTCAAATGTGTCATGCTTGTGTTTTTGACCTTCGGTACAGATGAGATATACTTCTAGTCGCCTGTTCTTTTGCATACTGGCAATAAACATTCAAACATAGCTTGCGAGAATGTTCAAGACGTTTTTCAAGTGGATAAGTCACTAGCATGCTTACGTTTCGGCGGTATCGCCCACTTCATCTGTGCCACACCCCCCTCCCCACTCTCGGACTTACTTTACGGCAGGGATGTGGAGACGTTGTGGTGATACGACAGGAACGATGCCAATATTCAATAACAATTTAATTTGACTGGCTTGATTTAACACGAGTAAGTAAGCTAGTGAAAGAGTGCTCCATCCCTCAAGATGTTTCAATCTGATACCATCAAATAAATTCAAACGTTTAACCTTCTCAGATTTTAGTCACTATTTTCCTTTCTCTTATGAACACAATGAGAATTGAATGAAAGTCACCATTCTGCTCATTAGTGGTCTCCTTTCATTGCTTTCCAGTATAATGAGTAAGCATAGTTTGATAGAGCAGGATCTTTTCTTATGACCAAGTTGTTGGCAAATAATTTCCACTGGTTAATCTCACTCGCACAACTAATGTGTCCCCAAAAATTATTTTTTCCTCACAGCATATTTTTTAATGGATTTTTCAAAGTCGCAAGCTTCTGAGTCTCTGCTAAATACAATAGGGGTTTGCTTCAGATGTTTTAATGATTGATGTACCTGAATAGGTCAAGGTTTTGTTTGAGAAAAAGGCTTAGAAAAAGTTAAGAATTCCAAGTACTTCCCATTCCGTGCCGTAGATTTCCATTTTTCCTGATTTGTAAAACGAACGTTCTGGTAGAGATAATGTGACTGTATCGATTTTTAAGTGTGGAACCTGCTTTCCTGGCAATGATCGACATCGACGAACATCTTGCCTTTATAACGATAAGGAAAGATGTTCTCCTGTGTAGAACTGACACGCAGAGATCAATTCACCTGCACTGCGAAATCATTTAACATTTGTAGATTTTCGATGGAGTATGATGTTGTCAGAATATTTTCACTAACAAAGCATGTTCTGCTTGAGAGTAGACACAGGCACTCCAGACCGACCATGATCAGTCAATTTTATTCTTTCACTGTAACAAGAGCTACACTACACCCACCGTTAATATCCAACCGTGTATAATAAACTATGCAAAATTGGATCCATCCTACCTAATGGCTTTTCAGGACGTTGGAGCTTTCGAGCATAATTAAGCGTATTTCGAATTAACTGCAGAAAAAGAAAGGTACTACTTGAAGCTTGATATATCCCAACTAAGCTTTAATACTAAAATATCGAACTCTTTTATGTAGAAATATTTAGCCAGGGCAAAAAACTATGCTGTATATAACATTCTGGTGGCTAGAAAACGAAGGCTTTCTTTTATTGCTTTAAGGCCCACTTTTTCGAATTCTGAGGCATTCATTGCACTTGAATTTATCTAAATCACACTCCACGTCTGATGTTCAAACTGACTGGCTATACATATCATGTAGATAATATATAGTAGGAATTAATCTTTTATACATCGGATTTTAGTCGCATTTTGGAGTTGCTAGTGATATGAATGGGATGAATTCTGAAGTCGATTGGTGACGAATGAACTATTTCTAACTAATGAAATCCCAAACTTACAAACACTGAAATGTTGGTGTGTTATGACCACAATAACGAATATCTCATGTTCACATGCAACTAGCGCTAGGTCACGGCAATTACCTAGGGTTTTAGTACAGAGATCTGGAAAATTTTTGAAAATTTTGTTTCCATGCTCAAATTAACAACAAAACAACAATAACTATTATTCAAAGTGTGAACGGGCATTGTTCACGACTTTCTGCCACCGTTTCGCAAGATTCCGGTCTGCTCGAAATACCATTCCGGCTTTTTTTGAAAATACTATTTTTGAAAATTTGAAAAATATTGATTTGAATGTATATTGATTTGGATATATATAAAAATATTGATTTGAACATACATAAAAATATTGAAAAAATTTGAAAAATATTGAATTACTATATTGAAATTTTTTGATGTGTTTCTTCAACTTCATCAGATGATTCAAATCGACGATCATTCAAAAAGTGGTGCATGGATGGAAAAAGGACATAATAGGATGGAGCACTTTCTTAGCTGTATTAGGAGTACGGAAGGACTTCGATGCTCTTTCTTCAAACCTGTGCTTAGTCTTCTTAATCGCATGTGGTAAACGAAGTATGTCTTTGAGATCAAAACTGCCTTCTTTAAAACGCTTGGACCATCTGCCCACAGTCGATTTTGCCGGTAAACCAGCGCTTTCGTCTCATTAATCTCATCGACGACTTTAAGTGTCGTTAAACTCTTTCATCAACAATGAATTGACATCAACACTCGCAAATCATACTGCTCACTATTTTGGAGCTGAACTTAATAGACTAGACAAAAGTATCGATAATAAACGACACAATGATGTCAAAAATGATTTGCTCAACCTAATATGTTATTCGTGAATAGCGTGCACAAACCGGAAGGCACAGGGACTGTGGGTGTTGTTAACGATTCGACAAGGCGAATGCGCACGATACGCTTTGACTCGTTCGGAAGGGCGTATGTCGCAAATTTGAAGAGGCTTTATCGCTGAACGTAGAATTTTCAGAGGTTTTGAGTGATCAGTGGGCACCACAGCTTTCAGCAATTGCAGTAATGGAGTTGGTTTGCGAAAAGACCTTATTACTGCGTTGTAGCATCCCTGAGAGAATTATTTTCCACCTTTTGCTTTCTTCATATGCTGGAGACAATTTATCGCCAGAAAAAATGATATTATACTAGAAGCCTTCTATGCCAGTCTTTTTTTAGTAAAAAGAACGCTCACGTCTCTTAAAATTTCTACTTTTCAAAACGAAGGCCACATCAATGGGGCATCAACCATCTCTATTTCTTAGTCTTCGCTCCGACAATATGCAAAGGTTGATTTAAATACACATTTCCTTCAATGCATGACCTTTTCAAGAAACTTTTATTTTGTGACTTCTAGTACGTTGTCGAAATAAGCCTTCATAGAGCCTACAATCATGAATTTGTAGAGCACATCACTGGAGAACTTAAATATTTCTGACCCAAATTTTCCAAACCTTTCAGTGATACTGTTAATCTTTGTTTAGAATGTTTAGTCAACCAGCAATAATATTTGGGATAAACATCGATCATTACCAGTTCACGTTAAATATCATTACCGATCAACGTTTACCGGCGTTGCATAGAATTTTGCTTGTTACACCCAACAATTCATGCGTTTGAAGACAATATACATCAAACCCTAAAACAATCAGATCCCACTTCATTATTGGCTACAGTATCATTCAACATAATTTTTCAACCCGAATTACATAACTTGTCAAACGCTACAACGCCTAAGATTACATCTCCGATGAGCAGTAGAACAAGATAAACAAAAAAGACTGCTTAGATTGACTGCACTTCGTGCTGTTCGCTAATTTTTCTTCGAGCATAGGCAGTATTTACGTGTAATGGCAATATTCTGTAAGATTCAACACAGAGTCCACGACGCGGTAAAGTGACTACCACAATACGCACGGGTGTCGGCAGTTGAGCAATATGGTCTTGTAAGTATTTGAGATAAACTTCCACCTGAAAATCGGTGAACGGAATGTTTTTGACGTAGTCTTTGTAGATTTTCCACGCCTTCATGAGGCACATATGCATCATCAGGTGGAAGAAAGGCGATTGTACGTACCTAAACTGCAAAATTAGATATTACGAAGCAATATCGCAGCGAAATGCACTCCCGTTCACATGTCTTCGTGGTGTATGATAAGATAATTTGGTCGAAGAAATCCGCAGCCAACTTGGGCCTGATGTAACTATGCACGACCTCAATATTTCCTCGTCTTTGGGTCGGTGGTGGGACCGTGCGCTGTGGAAATTAATACAAAATCTCTCTTGTAATTTCGACTGTGCACCTTTACGCCTTTCATTCTGTCGTCCCTTACATGATCCTTCTCCCAGTGGTTGCATGAATTTATCACGTAACCCTCCCCTACTCATTCTGTTCGTTCCGACCAATTG